CTAAAAATTTAAAAAGTTATACAAGTAATGACACCTCATTAAGTCTTGATATCAATTCTTTTCTCTAAAACGTTAACGAATGTGAATAAAAATTTCATTATTAATTAATTGGAAATTACTATCCATTAATTCATAATTATTACTAAAAATAATTTTTTATTTACATTGATTGATTAGATTTCGATGAGCGACCAATTTAATCTCCACTATAAATTTATTTGTTGTGATTATTTATCTTTTTATTTTATTAAATTATAATAATAAAGTAATATGCTTTTGATTCTTGTTAAATGATGATATTTCAAGGTATCCTTTTGATCACAGCCTAACTTTTGAGCTACTATTGTTGGTTAATTGCAAATTCTGTGCTTTGCCAATTAATTAGTTTTGAACTTACTTTGCTTCTCGCTTACTGCCTCTTTCTTGTACCTAGAAGGCTTCGACAAATCTATAAACACACTTAATGGTACCGAATAACTGTAAATAAATAAACTGACTCTTTTACAAAGCTCAAAGGCTTCTATAAAGTTCCTTTTATTCACTTGTGGCTGATCTATTTCAGTTGTTTGTTTACCCGATCAAAATAAAATTAGATCACATGATTTTTACAAGTTTTCCGATTACGATCTTTAATATTAATAACCAACTCTTCCTTATGTCGATATTTTGATCAGCATATTTGAACAACCCAATGTTACACGCTATTACTATATAAAATTTTTTAATTTTCATCTGAAATTTTTTCTCATTGATAGAAGATAATGGTTGAAAGTAAACAAGGCAAGATACCAAGTGAGAACACTTTAGATGAAAAGGTGACAAGCAAACAAATAAAAGAACTATTTATCTTAATTATTATATTTTTGCTTTTTTCAAATTCTAAAAAAATTTTGTTTTTAACAAAAATCATCAATCAATGAATAAATGACGAATGATTAATTAGTGGGATCATTGTTTATCTAATTTATTAGTAAAGACAGGAATTGGATTAGGTGTTGGTATAGTCGCTTCAGCATTAATATTTAGAAGTAAGATTTATTTGAAAAAAAAACAAATATAGGAAGATATTATGAAAATTTTCTTTCCAATTAATTCTTTATTCGTTTGTATGTTTTAGAAAAATCATGGCCAATTACATTATCAACAGGATTTGGAGCAGGAGTAGCTTATGCTGAATGTCAAAGAATCTTTAATCCAATTGCTTTACCTGGTGTAAAAATAATTAAACAATCATCATCATCATCATCACCTTCTTCGCCTTCTTCTCCGTCTTCTCCGCCTTCGCCATCTATTTCACCGTCATTAGCATCTTCATAATATTTGATGATAGTTGTGAAAACAGATAAAAAAAATTTTTTTTTGCTAGAAATTATTAATTAATTAAAAATACATCAACAATATTAACTATATAACTACACCTATTCAACTATTTTTTTATTCCATGTACACACTCGTTATTATAAACAAATTTATTGATGATATTTATAATCGTTGTTTAGAAACGAATCCATACTTTGAAAATGATGTTTTGAAAAAAAGATCAGCATTTTAAGATCTCATAAATTTCACTATTACTATGCAAAGCGAGTATGCCAAAAATGTTCTACATAAAGAGTTACATATAGAAATTGTATTAGCTCAAAATTGCCTTTTTAGGAGTATGGTTCGTTTCTATTCAAAAACCCCCCGCATTATAATGAACAGATCTGCAATTTATAGTTCACGCTCTATAACGGCCTTCCGTTCTCTGTTTGTTCGTTATTATTATAGAAAGAGAAATTAAATCGGAAGTTCGTTATAGAGAGTGAACTGTATGATGAAAACATGTTTTAACGAATATATATATAACGTTGTACTTTTTTATAATCTCATTAGAAATCTTTTAAATTTCATGGTAGGGAATGCGAATCAATATTTTTGAATCGTACTTATTTATATTTTCCAACAAATACAGACTATAAAAAAGATCATCAAAATCGTGTAACGGTTAGTAAAAAAAAAAGTAAAAAAGCATTAAAAAACATAATTGTAAACGAAAAATGGCAGATGAAGGTAAGAGCTATATTTAGGTTCAATCAGTAATAATTTTTACTTGATTTACTGTACTCGAATTTTTACCGTTATTTTTTTTTACAGAACAAATTATTCGTGATAGACTTGCAGTTGAAGAGCGTAGTCTTCGTCGAGTAGTTAAAAAACATGCATTGTTGATGAATTCATTAGAACAAGGAAATTTAAAAGAAGTGTGTGTATTTTAGTTGATAGAGATTGTTTTCAATAATAATAGAAATGGTTATTTTTTACAATATATTAAAGGACTATTATTTCTTGGTGATTTTTTTGAAATTAAAAGTCAACAATTATATAATGATTTTATTGTAGACTTTACTTCATATGAATTAACATTAACCCGTTTTCAAGCAATTCATAATGTAAATATCCAAGAAACTCAACATTGGTTAATGGAAGCTCGTAGGATAGGTAGATTACCAATAGATTAATTATGATTTTAAATATTCTAAAGAATATTTTATATATAATATTTTGGTGTTTTATAAAAAAAAAACTTTTAGAGCAAGAAATCGAGGCCACAAAAAAAGTTATCGAGAATTTAGAAAAAGAATTGAAAGAAGAAGAAGAAATACGTAGAAATAAAATACAGTATGATGCTTTGGCAATGGAAATCAATCAACATAAATCAAGAGAAGAATCAACAAAGTTTGTTTCATATATATATATATATTTTTTTTTTAAAGTAATATTATTATTAATATTATCATGATTTTTTTAGCGAAATAGTAAAATTGGATGAAGAAATTTTGATACTTGAAGAAAAAGACAAATTTCTTAGTGGTATTTTAGAAAAACGTAGTAATCAATTAGAAAAGGTTTTATTGGTTGTTAATGAAATTCAAACAGAAATACAAAATGACAAAGAACAGTATGAACAAATACTTGAAGATAATGATGAACATGTCAATACACCATCTTCTGTTAGAAGTGAATTTATTTCGCCAGTTGAAAATAATTCACCAAATTTATCACCTCAACAATTGTTGAATGATATAAATGACATATCATCATCAAACTTAATACAAAACGATGTTAATATGTTAGATGCCCAACCTTCAAATAACAATGATAATAACAATGATGATGATACAAGCATACTAAGCTCCCACACATTAGGTGATAAAAATAATGAAAAAATGGATGAAGATGATGTAACTGCTGCCGATGAAATTGGAATGGATGAAGATGATGTAGCTGCTGCCGATGAAATTGGTGATAGCATGAACGAAGACGCAACTGTTACAAGCAAAGATGAAAGTGATGATATTGTTGCTGATGATATTGATAATGATGCAGTAGAAAGCAGTGAGGATGACAGTAATGAAATAGTAGAAGATGTAATAGATTCTAATTTTACTGTAAAAAGGAAAAAGGAAACTTTTTCAGGTGATGAAGAGGAAGAGGATGTTGAAAATGATGATGATAGACATGATGATGATGATGATGATGATGACAAACATAATGACGACGACAATAACGAAAAAGGAGATGATGAAGAAAATGAGGGAGGAGGAGGTTCAATAGAGGAGAAACAAGTTGGATTACCAGATGACGATGATGATGAGGGAGCGATTGAAGAAAGTGATGAGGGAGTTATTGAAGATGATGAGATGGTAGAATGAAATTAGAATTAGAATTACAATTTTGTATTAGTATGTTTTAATATACTATTATATTTCTAATAGATTGATATTTAATTTTTACAAAATAAAAAATTCGAAAAAGAGAATATTAAATTATATTGTATGATCTTTATTTAAATTCATTGTATAAAGTTCAAACCAAAATTTTATTTCTTTTTTTTTTTTTGATCTTTGGCCATATAATTAATTATTTTGCTTTTTGTTGTATTCACAATTGCAAATCGATCTACAATAATTTTCTTAGGAAAGTTAATTTTATTAATTAGAGATTAAAAATGTTATTCATTACCTCTCTTGGAGTTTGTGGAGGTAGGAAAGGTGTATGTTCTTTATTCTTGGTCTTTGGATTCTTTTGTCTTTTGATATTTTGTTTCTTGAAACGAGGCAAAAATCTATCCCAAGATTCATTTTTAGTTGAGGATCCTTGGAAAGTTTTCCTTAATCATCAATTCCTTTTTTTCCAAAGAAAAAAGTAATTTTAAATATTTGATTTCGTTCATTTTTATTAAAATCAATAGGAATAACAACATTATTGATCAATACCTTTATATGATATAAAGGGTGAACCTTCTTAATACAATCAACCACAATGCATCTTACTTCTTTTAAACCCTTCTATGAACCCATTACAGATACAGAATTACCTTGAACCAACACATAACATTGAGTTAACAATTCTGTTGCCTAAATAATAATTAAAATAATCCATGATCAGTAATTGATTGATTTATTATTAAATGAATGAAAATAAACAAAAAGTGAATGAGTGAATACTTTGAGTGTTGAGCCACTTGGCCCGATTAACCTTTGTTGTCGTTTAATAAATCTTTCTTTATTACGAATTATGCTACCGATTTTTATAATATCACATACTATATTATAATCAAGAATTTTTATGGCCTATAAAAAAGATTAAAATTAATATTAATGATGATAATAATGACGATAATATTAATGATGGAAATGGGACACTTATAGCCAAAAGTTTGTCACGTGTTTTTAAAATAATAAAATGATCGTATGTTTTTCTTATTATTATAGTTATGTCATATCTCCCTCAATTAAATCCAATACACACACTATTCCATAATATTTTTCAATTAAACAAGATAATATAATCTATATATTACTACTAAAGAAAATGAAAATGTCAATGAAATTAAATTCGATCGCACTATTAATCACAAAAATCAATTTAATCACATTTTCAAGCGCGTCTCTTGCCTTTTTCCAGCTGCATCCTTACACCCATTCTATTTGAATTGAATAATCTTTTCTATTTCACTCACGAGCCTATGTTTCATATATTGAAGAATGAAATTCACAAACGAAATCAATTCAACCGATGAAATCAATGAACAATCAATATAATATTAAAATGTAAAATTATATAATAGACATACCAAACTTTCTCATAGGCAATTCGTCAGTCATCGATTGAATTAAGCTGATCAAATTAATTCATGTTCGGGTCTTCTTGAACTTGTTGTTGGTATAGTGTTGTAAGAAAAAATTTTGATATAATTTTTAAATTCGTAAATATATAATACTGTCTATATTTTGATCGCAAATGAAAAAGTCTGATCATTTATCCCAAATACAGCGAAATAGCAATGTTCTGCCTGATTGTAATAAAATAATATGACAGGAGTCATATAGATATCCACCTTTTCTAAATTATGGATGAAAAATATGGTCTGTCCACCAACTAGCGTTTCTATCTGATAATAATAATAGTAATTAGGCTAATTAAAATATTTTTTCTTTCCTTCGTAGTCCTTGTATATAGTGATAATAATAATAAATAGCAATAACAAAAGTCATATCATACACAAGACAAGTTGGTGAAATGGATTGAATCAGAAACTTAGGCAGTTGTAAACATAATTCAAAGTGTAAGTGATAACTGAACATACAGCCTTTCTTTCCTTTAGTCAAGTCTCCCAATCTTGTTGAATAGTATAATCCTATATAGAAATAGAGAACAGGCATTAGAAAATACTATAGCTTAAAGTTAAAGCGAACAAAATAAAATGTCAGCACATTAAATATATACATCAATCTTCATTGTTCGGGAGTTTTGAATCATTTCCACACTTTTCTAATGCCAAATAATATGCTTTCTTCAGTTTATCAATTGCATGGGATCGGTGTGCTGGGTGAATCATGCGGAAAAAACCTATGATCATTTTTCATCTTCGTTGGTAGTATCTCGGCCATAAGCAAAAAAGACAGAAATCATTGTTAGTAAAGCCTTAGACAAAATCAATCAATCAATCATCGAAACAGGTTGCTGATTACAAAAAGCCGGCTGTCTCTTGATGACAACTCGCCATTGCTGGCTTCCAACAGGCCTAACCCTGCCGCAGACGCCTTTGTACTCAACAATCCTCTTCCTCATTCTGTGCAGTAAAATCAGCCGGCTGCCTCTTGATGACAACTCGCCATTGCTGGCTTCCGACAGGCCTAACCCTGCCGCAGACGCTTCTTTCATGGCTTCAGAATTAGGGTTTATAAAGAGTGTAAGTAAATATTCAATAAACTTACACAATTAATTTCCAGTGAAAGATATTGGTATGTATTGATAATAAAAAATTTAACCCACGCAATTGTTGATCGACCAATCAAAAATCGTGAATTTTGATAACGTAAAAATAAACGTTAATACAAAACATTGATTCATTTTGTCAACAATCACTTATTGTTTCGTTAACAAATGGTTCGAATTTAAGAAGTTGGAAGCAACCATTTGAAATAGTCTAATAAATTAAATCGTACTACTCGAAAATGTATTTAAA